AAAAAAAAAAAGCGAAAGGAGCCCTTCCACCGCCTTCCCACTCCACTGTGGGACAAACCAGCAATTTAATACATTTCCGCGATATAATCCCACAGCGCTCGGGGTGGTTTCGGCCGGAAGGAGCGGCCTAAAGAGGAAAATTGAGCTTTTTTTTTTTTTTTTCTGTAGGAATGAGCCTCAAAAAACTGCACCTGTCAGGAGTGGGATTTGAACCCACGCCTCCATTCGGAGACCAGAATCCCCAACTGCGGGAAGGCAGAACCTTGAGTCTGGCGCCTTAGACCACTCGGCCATCCTGACGGCGACAAATTTTTGCCAAAAAAGCGACTACAGCGATACCAAAAATCGAGTTTTAGCCAAAAGAGGGACTACAGCGATGCTAAAACTCGAGGTTTTGTAGTTTTTCTATTTTCTTTTGGAGTTTTACGGTGATTAGCAGCGGGGAAGCACTGAAAAGTCGGGAATTCTTTTCAGCTGAGTCGTGATAGCATGAAAAAAAAGAAAAGCAGCGCTGCAAAGTCGGGAATTCTTTTCAGCTGAGTCGTGATAGCGTGGAAAAAAAGAAAAGCAGCGCTGCAAAGTCGGGAATTCTTTTCAGCTGAGTCGTGATAGCGTGAAAAAAAAAAGAAAAGGAGCACTGCAAAGTCGGGAATTCTTTTCAGTTGAGTCGTGATAGCGTGGAAAAAAAGAAAATAAAACTAAGCGCCCAACGTGGGGCTCGAACCCACGACCCTGAGATTAAGAGTCTCATGCTCTACCGACTGAGCTAGCCGGGCTCCCGAAAAACCCTTTTCTGTCCTCATTTTGGTGCAGGATTCTGGTGGTTTCGGCTGCGCTGGGGCTGGGAGTGGGGTGACACACACCCACGAGAGAAATCTGTTGGAAAGGCTGAAAAGAAAAAAAGAAAAATCTCCCCACGCAGGTCTCTGCGGTGCAATTTTGGCATTTATGCAAAAATCCACGATTTTTGGGGGGTCCTGCAAACGCTTCCCGCTTGGAGAAATAATGGCAGCAGCGGGAGGAGGGCGGCGTTTTGCGTGAATTGCATGGAAAAGCTTTTTTTTTTCCACGCGTGTTTTGGTACCGGAGGGGTCAAGGCTGGGGCTGAAGGGCAGGGGGAGCCCCTAAAAGGGCCGTAGCGGGTTTCTGTAGTGTAGTGGTTATCACGTTCGCCTCACACGCGAAAGGTCCCCGGTTCGAACCCGGGCAGAAACAGGCTTAAATTTATTTGATTTTTACTTTTTTTTTCGTGAATTTTGTGGCTCAGCATTCCTCCAAACTCTGGAATGGCCATGGTTGCAAAAATATCTTCATGGCTCAATAGTCCTCCAAACTCTGGAATGGCCGTGGCTGCAAAAATATCTTTGTGGCTCAATATTCCTCCAAACTCTGGAATGGCCGTGGCTGCAAAAATATCTATTTACAGCACAAGTTGCAGGTGGGGATTAATTTTAGTCATCGAATCATAGAATCGTTTAGATTGGAAAAGACCTTGAAGATCATCCAGGCCAACCATTAACCCAACACTACCAAGTCCACACTAAACCAGTTAAGAGGAGAGAAGTGATTCCATGTTTCCTGGCTTGGTGGCTGGATTATTTTTGAATTAAAGTAAAACTAGGAATCACTAAGGTTGGAAAGGATCTCCAAGATCATCAGTCCAACCATCAGCCCAACACCCCCATGCCCACTAAACCATGTCCCCCAGTGCCACCTCTGCCCGTTTTTTGAACCCCTCCAGGACTCCACCACCTCTCTGGGCAGCCTGTTCCAGTGCTTGACCACCCTTTCTGTGAAGAAATTTCTCCTAATATCCAATCTAATCCAGTCTATGCATTAATTTTTCCCTGGGGACACCGTGGCAAGTGGGTTCAGTGCAGCCTGGACGCATCGCTGTTCCTGTCCCCTGCGCTGGGGACAAATGTCCTTTTTGGGTAGGAATGTGCAGGAATCCGTTAAAGCATCTGTATCCCACAACAGCCCCCTGATACGGGGGACGGGAGCAGAGTAAATACTCTCCCAAATTCAGTCCCATGAGACCATATTCTTACAGAAACAACTCGACTGCTTTAATCTTCCATGGATTTGATTCCGCTCAACTTTCGAAAAGGTTAATTTGTTTTTCCCTGACCGGGAATCGAACCCGGGCCGCGGCGGTGAGAGCGCCGAATCCTAACCACTAGACCACCAGGGAGGCTGTACACAACTCATTGCACAATTTTACCAATCTCATCTTTTATCTCTGCACATTCCCCCTCCCCCCCCCAAAAAAGCTGCCGCTTCCCATCAGCCTGACAGGAGCTACTTTGATCCTGCCGCAGAATTAATTAAAAAAACCCCAAAATTCATTATAAAAAAGGAATTAATTACAAAACCCAAAAGTCATTTAAAAAAAAAAGGCTAAATTAATTAAAAACATTTGTTTTTCCCCAAACCAGCTCTCCCTGGTGGTCTAGTGGCTAGGATCCGAAAATCCGGCGCTTTCACCGCCGTGGCCCGGGTTCGATTCCCGGTCAGGGAAAGTTGCTTGAGGAAAAACTCCCAATTCTTTAGAAGTCATTCTTTTCCTTCCGTGGGGGCCCCGCAGGACTTCTCTGCGCGTCGGTGTTGGCAGCGATCCCCGGCTCCCCATGCTCTCCCAAATAAAACCTCTTCTTCCTCACATCGCAAGTGTGGATGGCTATTAATCGAACATATATAAAATATACATGTTCCTTTTCCGGGTTAAGTAAAGGTGGCCCGTCCACCTTGGTAAAGACCGGCGATTAATACATCTTTGACAGGAATTTAGATGTAACGCATGCAGAGCCCCTAGATCCCTACATACTATCACACCTGATCTGAGAATCAGCCTTCAACGCAAGCTTTTGTCACCCTTTAACGGGGTCCAGCTCCTGCCTTAGATGGATGGATAGATAGAATAGTCAGTTTATTAACATTTAATCAAAGCAATTACAATACTAAGATCTAATAACAGTCTGACTTTGACTTACAAATATATGTACAATGTCCACAGATGAGAATAGTGCTCAGTTCGATAGTCGACGAGCCACCTTCTCCTGCCGGGAGCCAGAGAGTCCAAAGTCCTTCAACACTTCGTAGTTGCCCTCGTGCCATTTTCCTTGTGCACCAAGCAGGAAGCGTTCGTCAGATCTTGTATCTGCTCATTTAGATGTTGATATTTCTTAATTTTTTCCACAGCTGCATCCACAAGAGATGATGCTTTGCTTTCATATCTCACCGTGATATCAATCACCACTGCCTAGTCTTCCTTCACCAACACCAGGTCTGGCTTATACGACTCATTCCAAGCATCCCTCAGCAGCGGTTCTTGGAATAAAACCCAGTCCTTCTTCTTTGCCTCATTACTCAACAATTCGCATAACTGATTATGCCTTTTTATTCTCACCTCCTGCACCGCTGGGCAGTACCCAACGATACGACAGCAGGTCTCACTCTCCGCTTGGCAATGCCGGCACGATTTGATGTACGTATCCTGCCTACCCCGTGCTAGAAATTCCCTCGTGGCGTAGATGTTCGCTCTCAGCCATAGTGCTGTGAGGAGCTTCCTGTGGGGAATGCCCCTATAAAATTCTAACCAGCTGTTACTGATCTTGTCGTTCTCAAAGTTGCAAATACCACAGCCCCAGGATACCAACTTGGTCCAATTTATGAATTCCCGTATTCCCAGTTAAACAGTCTCGGAAAGATGGCTTTTAGAGCAGGTATCTCCCATTCCAAGGCTGGTTCCTCACTGCCAAACTCATCTGATATCACCATAACCGTTCTTGGGTCCTAGACAGATGGAACCTTTTCTTTATCACTGCCGGCTGCAATCCACAGCCTTCCAAAAACCCTTTCTCAATGCCCTCCTCTTGGACAACGGAGAAAAAATGGTCATTTTCTAATGCTAACAGCAAACTTGAAGAGAATTTCGGTAGAAAAGGAGCTGGGAGAAGGTAGAGGTGGAGACCTGGGTCCATCCTGTCACGAGTGGGTCACCCTAAACATTTAACATCGTGTTTCTGTAGTGTAGTGGTTATCACGTTCGCCTAACACGCGAAAGGTCCCTGGTTCGAAACCAGGCAGAAACACAGCTTTGGGGCTCTTTTTGGGGTGTTTTTAAAGCACCTCCTTGATTTCTCACTCACTGCCCTCCCTTCAGCAAAACCTTCCTTCCAAACGCAGGGCAGCAGGGCTGGAAATCAAAAGGCGAGCAGGACTGTCAGCACAGGGAAAAATGAATTTTCTGTATCCCGACGCACAGCTATACGTGCGACTTTAAATCTATGTGTATGTAGAATATACGTGCACGTGCTTTGATTCTTGCAAGAAATGCATTAATATTCAGCCACAGAACTGACTCCTTTTCTTTCCCTTGGGGTTTATTGGGGAGGAACCCAACGCCAAACCAAATCAGCTGAAATGCCTGATCGGGGCAACAGACGTGTTGTCTCTGGATGGGGCAGCGGAATCAGGTGGCTCATGGGGG